GGCGGGCCGCTCTGGGGCGACGGCGGGGGGCGCTGGGAGCCCCTAGGCCGGGAGCTGTGAAGGTGGGCGGACCCTGTGGGTCTAGAACTCCCTCCAAAGCAAGTCAGGGTTGGAGGTGGGATGGGGGGAGTGGTGGTGAGGAGAGAGGTCGGAGCGCCCCCTGGCGGCCCTTTTTACCGAGCCAGGACGGCCACGAGGCGAGGCGAGCCGGCAGCGCAGGAGAGAGGCAGCGGGGAACCGCTCTGGCCTCATCCAACTCAACGACTCGCAGCTCCCTCCAACGCCCGTGTGTGTACCCCAACTCAAGTACACACTCCCCAGTTACAGACATACACCTCAACCAACCACATGCACCCCAACTCACGGACACTACAAATTCAGATGCACACCTCGAAATGTACAGTCATTAACGTAAAAACATACACCCTCTACTCACCGACACGTTATAGATCAGCCAATTAGATGTACATCCCAACCACGTAAACAACAAACGACACCCCCACCTCAGACACACACCTAAGCCCTAACGCACAAACATACCCAAATCAGACAAACCCCATTGCTTCCGTGGTCGGCAAACTGCGGCTCGCGAGCCACATGCGGCTCTTTGGCCCCTTGAATGTGGCTCTTCCTAAGCCTTAGGAGTACCCTAATTAAGTTAATAACAATGTACCTACCTATATAGTTTAAGTTTAAAAAATTTGACTCTCAAAAGAAATTTCAATCGTTGATATTTGGCTCTGTTGACTAATGAGTTTGCCGACCACTGCTAGGTCATACACATACAACTCAAGTCAAGCATCCCCCCAACTCCCAATGGTCACCCCCACTCAGATACATCGCCAAATTCGGAAGTCCAGCACAACTCAAGCTCACAGACAAGCCCGAGGACACCCCTGTGCACTCACATTTATGTGGTGGCCCAGGGACCCCTTTTCCAACCTTGGGGGTTTCAAGTAAGTCCAGGCCTCCCTGGATGAAACCACCCATCAGGGGGCGGGGGGAACCCACGGGCCGGATGCCCCTCTCCCCCCCATCCTTTCAGCCCCAGGGTCACAGACCCCGCAAGGGGCCTGGGCTCAGGCCCGCCCACCAGAAGCCAGAAGCGCCGTAGGGATCTGGCTCCAGTTTGGCGCTAACGCTCTGCCAGAACTTGGAAAAGCCTTTGTCCCTCTCAGGCCCCGCTTCCTCCGGGCGCCTCCTGTGCCGGTAGCGGGATGACCTTTGTGACTATAAGCCCTGGGCGGGGGAGTGCGGCGGAGAAGGAAGCGAGATGCCGGTGTGGCCCCCACCCCATGCAGGGACCCCTCGCATCCTCGGGAACACAGGAGGAGGGGCCCTAATGAAGACAAATGCAGGGCCCAGCGCCGCCAGATCACGCGGTTTTCAGAGCCACCTCCCCTCCTCCCGCAGTGCGCAGCCCGGACCGCACGGCCAGTGCGCATGTTCCGGAGAGCCCGT